TTGGGCCAGCTGAGTATCTTGTAACTGCTCATTGCTCACTCATGGGTGTTGATCCCAGATCCACCCATTCTTGCCTCCTCCTTCCCTCTTGGCTTCAGCTATGTGAGAAGTTCAGAGTGAACGCTTCACAGAAGTACAGATATACAAAGCACTACATGTAGTGCAAGAGGATGGCAAGACTGCTGACAAGATGGTGGTTCAAGACAAAAGATCAATATATTATGTAAGATATCCAAATCTAGCTATATACCATTGTTTGACTATGGCCTCTGGGCATTCCCTTCCAATCCTATATCACAAGGCATAGCGCTTCAAAAAACCCTGAGCTGGCGACACTGTACGCGAGATGCTGCTGCCTCCTTGATAAACCCATTCAGCCATACTTTGTGTTCAATGGTCCTAAGCGCCCTTGTGTGAAACGGGGCAAGCATGTTCGAGGAAACCCTCATTGGATTGAGCGGGATTTCCAGAAAATGCTACTTTCCTTTGGATTTCCTTCAACGATGGTAGGTTTTCTCCATGCATTGATCCTACTATCACTCATATGGACACATGTAGGCTCTTGGTGAAGCTGATGCTGAGCTTGCTTGGCTGTCCAAGGAGGGTTATATTGATGCTGTTGCAAGCGAAGATTCTGACTTGATAGTACTCGGCGCAGTGGTTGTCCTTCGAAAGTGAGTGTGTTACCACAGTCGAAATACCTTTCTGACCTCCTGCAGCTTTCTTCATGAGGACAATGACGAGAAGGTTACTGTATACTGTGCAGAAGCTATCAGAAAGCACGCCGCCCTTGGGTTCACCGACACCGATTTCTTGGTAATTGCTTTGCTGGTTGGTGGTGACTACGATGTAAGATCTCTAATTCATAGTTCATGTTTGGGACCTGACGCTCGGGTTTGCCTCAGGATGGCCTTAAACGGTGTGGCATCCGGATCGCAACTGGACTGGCAAGGGCAGGGCTTGGGCATCGCCTTCTGCATGGCTTGTCCCAATCCAAAGCTGCTGACAATTTTCTGGAGGTGTGGCGAAATGAGTTGCGTGAGGAGCTTAGAACAAATGACTCCGGCCATCTCCCCTCCTGCCAACCTGCTCTCTCTAATTCCGTCCCTTCTGATTTCCCTCAACTGAAGGTCATCAACCTTTACCGAAACCCTCTCAGCTCAAAGACCAATCCCACGGATCTTCTGGGGTGTAGCCCCAATCCTATTTTGCTGGCAATTTTTTCTGAGGAGAATTTCTGCTGGGGTAGTACTCACGGGATTCTCTCGCACTTTGAAACAACAATATTTCCTGGCTTGGCCCTCGACGACATTTGCCGCATTGCACGTGAGACCGATCTCGGTCTGGCCAAAAGACCCTGTCAGTTCATTGGTGAGGTCCTTCAACGCCGGGTCCCTTTGAAAGCTCGAGACTGTCCACGTCATCCTGAGGTCAAGTTATCCCTCATTGTGTCAGACGCGCTTGTAGATTCTATCATCGGCTCTCTATTAGGCAAGTTGAATGATGGGGAAACTGAAGGGAGAGTAAATGAGTGGCAATTGAGCGTGTTCCCAAGGATGAGGGTGTGGCTTCCCATTGCCATGATTCACGCAACATTCCCAGAACTCATTGTGGCAGGTGAGTATGTTCTTCACGAAACCTTGGAACATGTGCTCACATGGAATTATCCTTTCTCAGCTGGTAAAAAGAAAGCTACCCGCTGTGCCTGTATGAGTACTGGTGGCAAGGCCCCTCGTGCATCAGGTGAATTACCGCTCCACAGCCTTGCCTCAATTAATGTAATTAATAACTTCCAGGGTCAATGGGCATGCCTCGCCCTCTCAAACAAAAGTCTCGTGAAGACGACGGTGCTGCATCTTCAAGTAAACGACCAAAGCACAACAAAATAGTATCGTCCACAGACCATTTCGACACCATCAACCTTACCACTCCCAAGCCCAATGTATTGACAAACAAACAATGGAATTGCCACAATGTCATTGATGCACTTGACCTCACTCAATCCGATCTCGAACCAGGTATGAAAGCAAACCTGCTCTACCACTGCATGACCCCCTTAACACATCCACAGTCACCGGGATCCCTGAAAGGCGGTATCACCTTGATGTCTCGGATGATGGACACCTCATTGAGTTCATCACCGACTCAGAGGGTGAGTTGTAAATAGGAGCTGCCCCCCATTGTATATATAGTATCCCTTGAAACAACAACTCCTTTTGCCTTCCCCACCATGGTTGCCCAGCTATCCAATCTTTCTCATAAATTTTCGGCCCTCAACTCTCGTGATGACAATGACAGAATAACAGAAGAAGAAATTGAACTGGACCTCGAGGATGAACAAGCCACCATACCAGATCTTGTCCATGAGGATTTGGAGCCAGGAAATTGTGAATTCATGCAAACATGGAAGAAATCCGTCTTCGGCGCATCAAAAGGGGTGACCGACAAGACTGATGGTGAATACCAATGGTGATAATGTGCTCTGTTGAAATTGAGGCACATATTAACATGTCTTCGATTTAGGCTGAAGATACAATGCACGTCTTTCTTGATATCTTCAGGTCTCATTCAGAAAGAGGCAGATTTTTTTTCCAAATCCCCTCCCGAAGATGCACCATTCTTTATCAGTGCATGGATTATGGACAAGTAAATTATTATTTTTGCTCCTATGTACCCTTTTTAATAAAACGTAGGTGTGACAAGGTCACCTTGGACAATAAGGCCTGGCCATTGAATGAGATCCGTGATTCATATGCGCAAGCACAGAAGATGTGTGCTGCCATGACCAAAATTTTTTCATGTGAGTATGGCCTTGGGTCACTTGAATGGCATCGAACCAGGGGTGGTATGGTTGGCAACCCATCCATCTCACCAGAGGTTGCCAATTATATGAGTGGTCTGCGTCACCGGAAGGTTGGTTTGTTACATTGTCTTTGGCACAATTTTTTATTTTTATCAGGTTAAAGCTGGCTGCGAAGCAACCAGTGCACGCACCGTCACAGCGGTAGGTCATTGTACAAAGTCACATATCGAATGACCTGATAAGCATGAGCGGACAGGATATTATTGGCAGGCTTTATGATTTTAACCACCTCCTGGAAAATTGGGCTTTGAAGCAATACAGCCCCACCTCTAGAAAAGATGCCGCCAAACTCCATGAGTGGGGTGGAGGGTTGACACATCGGGCATTGCATGCAATATATACAATATCTTTTCTGTGCTTGCTGCGCATTGACGAAGTCCTGAAAATTCGAAGGTCCCACATCGAAATTCGAGGTGATCTCATAATTCTAACATTACCCTTCCGAAAAACACATCAATACAGCCATATGTTCTCTGTTCATATTCCCTAGATCACCTTACAAATTATATTCACAGGGATAAAGCCATTTTATCTACACATGCTTGATGAGGCAGATGCCCACCTCTGTCCTGTCCGTGCACTTGCTGATTGGATCAATACCACTGCCATCACCAAGGGCTACATCTTTCGCAAAATAGGATCAAGTGAACGGCCTGTCGCCAAGGACTCTCCAATGGTCTGTTTCATTGCTATTTAACTTCCCTACTTTGTTACTAATATTTTATTTTATCTATAGACCTCTGAACAGTTTCTGGAGCTCTTTCGTAACAATCTTCTTGATATTGGGATTGACCCATCCCCTTACGGAACCCACTCGTTTCGACGTGGTGGTTGTCAGTACCTGGCATCAGAACGTTGTTGGCCTCTATGCACGATTTGTGACTGGGGTGGCTGGAGTGTTGAATTTTCCAGCATGACAATTGTTAAGTATCTTATTTCGTGGAATGACAACCCAACAGAATCACGCAAGGACTTTTTCAACCCAAGGCAAGCCCCAACCATAAAGTGCCCACGATGCGGACGTTCTTGTGCTTGTGCATAAGAATCATATACGTTGTATTAGGCAGGAGGCTACAGATCTAACTACGAAAAGCTTTATGTACTTCATTCAATCTTCACCATCTGCTTCTACACCAGAAATCCCTTTGAGTAAACGATATGTCTTCCCAATATCTGAAGGCTTAGTTTTAATGTGAGAAACCCCGTTCTTTTTGTATGAAAAGAAAGATGGGAAGTTGGCAGCATACTCTGCCCTTGCGCATTCAGCTGTGGCCTGGTCTTCATCCTTGCGAAGCTCCGAAAGTCGTTGGACGATCTTCGTGAAGCAAAGCTGCTCCCCATTATGTGAAAACTCATCCCAAAATTGGGTGTGCGTTCCTTGGCAGTAGCGATGCACGACGACCTGTTAAGTTGACTTTCAAACGAACAGCATTGAGAGACCTAAAAAAAAACTTACCTTCCAGTTGAACCACTTGCTCTTCATACCATGCCATTGGCGCGGCTTCCACGGTTAGAGTTCATATAGACATCCTTCCAGTAGACGATGGGTATTGGGTGACCCTTGATCTCCAACACCAACGTGCCACCCCAATTGGGAGTGGTGTCATCCCACATTCGGTTGAGGCCAGCAACGTCATCAGCAAAGCTGGTTAGTGGTGGAGAGCCAACGTCCGCCTCCGTGAATGTGAGCTCAGTACCATCACCTAGTATGATCGTGCATGTCGGAGCGGAGCTGGGAGTTGCAGCTGAAGTGGAGATTTGTGCAGCTGAGGTGGCTGGATGGGGTTGTACTGGCTGTTCGTTTGGGGCTGTGACGTGCTCAGACAGCAAGGGAGGGGCAGATGGAGGGGTGGCCGTCAGGGAAATGGTAATGCAGTCACTGGCTGTGCCAGTGCTCATGTGAGAGAGGCGGTGATTGAGTTCTTCGACATGTGTGTTGGTGAGCTTGAGGTTTTCCTGTAGCGCCAGGTTGCCACCAGCCTGCGGCGGATTAGAGATAAATGTTAGTTGAGAATATGAATCACGCACCATTCTTTTTGCGAGAGCTTTCTCCACCGCTAACTTTCAGGCTGCCAATGGAACGTAGGGATGGGACTCCACGACTGGTAGCTACCATTTACATCATGAAAACGTGGCAGTTAAATGAAACAGTTTTTCATTCCTGTTTCATTCCTGTCCATAATGATGAACTAGAACTGCTTGCGACGAACTGGAATTTCTTTCATTTTGGCTTCATTCATGCCATTGAGCTGCCTCATTTTTGTTTCATTCATTTTGGTGCATGTGTTTCATTCCATTGTGAGATGGGAGATGATTATGTAATTGATGGGAACAAAATGTAAGTGCCCTATTTGGCAACACCACTGCTAGTTCTTTGCATATATCTGCCTCAAATCCAAAAATACCCCCATATGGCCCCTCAATCCACTGCAGAAGGGCACAACCCATATCAGGCATCATTTGTATATTATTTCCTTATTTGTACATGTACTATATCATTGAAATAACTGTCCAGAAAGAATGAAATAATAATTGAAAATGAATGAAATATTCAATCCTCTGGCAAGAATGAAACAAAGAATGAAATAATTGTCAGGAATGAATGAAGCAGAATCAAACTTATTCTTTCTGGCAGGAATGAAACAGAAGTGAGAATGAAACAGAATGAGGCAAAAGGTGTTTCATTTTCCCTGGAAAAGAATGAAACAAAAAATGAAAAAATCATCGCAATGAATGAAACATGCCTTTTCTGGAAGAAATGAAATAAGTGCTGTGAATGAAATGAAATCATTTCATTTCATTCACAGTAGCTGATCAAGATGCCTCACGGCAACTGCCACATTTCATTGATGTAAATGGTACCTACTAATGACTCCACAATTTTCTTTGCCTGTGAAGAGCTTGATTCAAAAAGCGAAAAGAAAAGACGGCGAAGACGTACCCAGCTGAGCAGTTGCTCTCGTTCACATGCCGTTTGCTTGCTTTGGCCACTTTCGGTCTCCATTGGGAGAAGGTGAGTGATGGGTGCAGCCATCGCTGACCTGCTGAACATCTCCTCAGCGCGTTTGGTTGATCTTTTTTTTGTCTTGGTCGGCTTCGAGACGGCTCCATACCTTGCATTGAGATGGGCTCTTCGTGCCCTGGGAATTGTCCTGTGGTCACAGTGATAAATGTCTTGGGGGATGGGGGTGACATGGATTCACTCAGCTATCCCAAGCATCAGAATCCCCACTGAACTCAGCGAGCCTCTCTCGCATTGTTTTCATGTTTCCAGAATGTGGGATGGCAAAACTTTTGCACCATTCTTGCAACATAGATCTGGAGATGCCTTTGCCATGACTGTTGTCGCAAAGTTAGCGCGTTGAAGTCGAGGAAACGGTGAGGGTAGCTCACATTCGCATGTAACGGACCTGCCGCTTCCCATTGACAATCTCGCCTGGAAACAGAAGGCGTTGCTCCCCCTCGTCATTGGAGTTGGAGTTGAGTGGTGGGTTATCAACATCCATGGAGTCGATGTCTTGATCCACATCCATTGCTTCAACTTGTGGCAAGACCATGCCGGTACGGAAGACGAGAAGGGCAGCGGCAAGTAAACCAAAGATGACGGTGAGCCAGCAAGGGCGCGTCGCTTCCGAGACGAGCCATGCTAGGCGGGCACCGATCTGTTTCAAGGCGAAGAGGCCGACGGTGGGCTCGCAGATCGATCTGTGCAATAGAAATCAGAGATAAAGCAGCGAGGAGCGATGGAGGGGACAGGAAAACAGCAGCAAAGGCTGTCACAGGGAACCGAAAAGAGGGAACACAGTCCTGGGAACCGAGGAACGGTCCCTACCCTGACTTGGCGGGGGACGGCTCTTTCCATGTGACTTGGAACTGTCTATTCTCAGTAAGGCTGCGACCGACGAAAAAGACAGTCTGATCAGCATGACCAATCTGTGACCAGATCACGCCAAGAAAGGGTAGGGCTCGCACCCACCCGAACGACTGGTGGCTACCACTTTTATGATTAATCTATGACAACTGTCCAAGAGCCATTGTGTATAATGCCACAGGTTTTATGAAAGGCATCTCATTAGGATTGCCCATCTATTTCATTCAATTTATCACTGGAATCTTTCATAAGTTATAGACAAGGATAATGAGATATCATGGGGATATTTCATTAGGCTCTTTGGCCCTTTCATTATCATTTCTGAGACTTTTCATTAGGATATTTCATTAGGCTCCTGCGCTTTTTCATTACCATTTCTTAGAATTTTTATTAGGATATTTCATTAGGCTCCTGCACTTTTTCATTACCATTTCAAAGGAATTTTCATTAGGATATTTCATTAGGCTCCTGCGCTTTTTCATTATCATTTCTTAGAATTCTCATTAGGATATTTCATTAGGCTCCTGTGCTTTTTCATTACCATTTCATAGAATTTTCATTAGGATATTTCATTAGGCTCCTTGGCACTTTCATTACCATTTCTTAGAATTTTCATTAGGATATTTCATTAGGCTCCTGCGCTTTTTCATTATCATTTCTTAGAATTTTCATTAGGATATTTCATTAGGCTCCTGTGCTTTTTCATTACCATTTCATAGAATTTTCATTAGGATATTTCATTAGGCTCCTGCGCTTTTTCATTACGATTTTTTATATTTCTCATTAGGATATTTCATTAGGCTCCTTGGCACTTTCATTAGATTTTCTTGGAATTTTCATTGGGATATTTCATTCAGCTCCTTGACCCTTTCATTACCATTTCATTGA